GTGTCTATATCATTTATGTAAATTAGGAACAATAGTGGTCCTAAAATTGAACCCGGCGGTACCCCACTATGAACACAGGCCCACTGTGACATTGTGCCTCTTATAACTACTCGCTGCACGATGCTGAGGGTTTTGCAGAGGGGGCAGTACATTTATAAAAATAAGCTATATTTTCAAATTTTCAACCCATCACATTCATGTCATGTTTGTATCTGAAAAATTTGGAAACTATTAACCTTATGAAATCCATCAGCATCTCTCCCCTAAACATTTTACCAGTCTGAGAATTTTTTCTAAGTCAAACCAGTCTGCAAACATCAAAAGGTGTGGAACCCCTAGCCTAGACAGAACATTGATTTTTTGGCACACCTGTCAACCGAGGCCTCTGCCAGAGGGCAAGACCCTGCTGCCTGTACATGACTCCAGACAAACTGCACCATTGTGCAGAACTTGGGAAGAGGGCACCTGTTGAATGCATCATCACTGCAATTTGAAAAACAGGGGGTGGGGGAGACCCTGCACTACAACTAGACAATCTGAAGACAGGGCCTCATAAAGACCAGAAAGGAACGGGATGACATCATCCATACAGCAGGCATACAAGTATGTCTATTGTTGGTTTGCTGCAGCATCCACCACCTGGGAACATTTGCTCCAGAACACATCCCCCCTTCACAATTAGAAAAGCACGACTACATACTCTATGCCAGTGGTGAGATCAGCACCTTATGAGAACAGTAAACAAATAGCTGTAGCTCCATGAATCATGCAGACATTTCACCAGCTTCACCCTGCAATGTGACTGAGACAGGGACATCTATTCGGTAAGAAACTAGTAGTGCCATGCGGTAACCACTGCCCCCCCCGAAAATATAAAAAGGCAAAGATGAAAATAAAATTGGTAAGACAGTGCCTCAAAAAGTCAAAGATACATTCCATAACCGGCCTTTGCATTGATGAGCAAATAACCTAAGACCACTCAATTCAGCAAAATGCAACACCTTTCTACTGATAAGTGCCAAACGAATCCTCTTTCCACACTTGAGTGATTCCTGAAGCCTTCCTCTGACAGACTTGTTAAATATTGCCCAGGCTTGAGTTCAAAGTTTGTCTGGGAAATGGGCTTTGTACCTATCTTGAGTGCAATAACCGTTACAAGACTGCAGCAAGCAGATGTTTACGTTTACAAAACAGCTGCCTCACAGTGAGATAAGGGGTTAACCTGAGGAAGACCAACAAGACACCTGGAGACCAGACAAAGCACAGCAGAGCAGGTAGATAAGTCAGGCCAAAACATGTCTGTAGACACCATCCATTAAATTAAAAAATATGTGTCATCAGTCAACCACGCCATAAAAAACGTAGATCATTTGGTCATTTCAACGGCTGTCCACACCCCATCTAATAATGAGTTAAATTACTAGTCATCCAAGACAATAAAAAGCTTTCGCCTTGAAAATAACCTATGATCTATCACTGCAATCAGGTACTATATAGAGTTCACAAGTTCATTAATAAAGGACAGTTAGCCAAACTGAACAATGTCTCACACCCGATTTTGCACCATAATGGCTAGTTATGGGGCTTTTAAAGCACCATTCGTTGCGTCGCAATATTGGAATCCCACCTGACTTCAAAATAATCTTACCCATGTCTCATACGTCCATTTCAAAACGGATGCACAAAACACTGAACTTGGCGGAGAGCTGCTACAGGAGCTAGTCACACGAATTTTAAAACGAATTTATACAACTGTGTTTTAAAATAAAACACCTTCTTTCTTTTTTAATAACAACCCCGCTAGTTACAACTGTTAGTCACCTAAACTGGACCCCAGACTTGCTGAGCAGAAAGGACGCCTCCAGTATCACCGCAGCGCCAGAGAAACGCAAGCTATGAAAGCGCCCCGAAACACACCTAGCTGTATGTTGTAACAGGCACGGTGCGGCTGTCACGATAAAGCGTACACTACATTTACTGCTGAAAAAGGAAACATATTTCTTTAAACAATAAAAAAAGAAAGGCACCTCCGTTTTCCCCGACGTGGCTTTTCTCGACTTCTCCCGTCAGAAACATAGGAGCTAGGTGCACACCTAGTTAGCACTGGCTAACCAGCCAACGACGACTCTCAAAGCGTTTTAAACCCCGAAACACGCACACTAAATGGATGTCAGCGACGAAATCGCAAAGTATATACAAAAACCTTAATGGAAAGGGAAAACAAGCATACCATATAAACCTCAGTTCTAGCTGACCCGCAGGGGAAAGAAGTCGGAAATGGACGGTTTCGGTGCCACCAGCTGCGGTTTCCAAGCCCAGCAAAAACGTCCTGTCTTCTGACTAGTCGAACGTGTTCCGGAACGTCGCCATGGTCTGCACTTTTCATAAAAATGCCAAAACGTATTAAGAACTGAATGTTATCGTTTCGCGCTGGTTATTTAACCTCGTCCACGGAGTAATCCTCCAATACCCCCAACTGCTCTCTACATCGCGAAGTGAACTACGTATCGCCACTTCATATAGCACGCAGCGTTCTGACGTCCTTTGTCGGGAACGCGCACGTACAGCACGAATGGAGACGTGGGGTCGAGTAGCTTGCTGTCTGTCAACCAAAAGAGTTAATTTCCAAGAAGTATTCATTCTGTTCATTTGTTCGTTTATTTGTCGCTTCTGGCACGCTGTTCCAATTCAGTGATACTGAGCTAATAAATACAACACATTTAATTATTACTGAAGTTCACCGAATTCGTTAGAATTCACTTGCCACCTATCATCTGTATATTAAAATATGCAGATAATAGCAACTTTACCTATTGTTGCAAACACTGGCGCTTCAATATATACTTTCAATTTTTTAGAACAAAATTTTGGAAGAAAAAAGATATAAAAATACATGTATTCATCGTAAAACAAATGGATTGCCTGTGGCGTTCATAATGAATATTATTTGTTTTCGTAAAAACACATTTTACTCCAGCAGATAAAATCCGAAAGGCATGCACACATGGGCATCATTAGTTGACAACACACGTTTGTCTCTAAATACACCGAGTAGTCCAGTGACCTGCGTTTACGGAGTTTACACGTGCTCTGTGCGCAGCAACACCGGTATTTCAATAATTTATCCCCGACGTCTCGAGTTTCTCTCAGAAATATCATCTACTCTTTCCATCGTTAAAAATACATGGATGACCTGCCAAGAGATACTTTGCATCGCGTCCTTCTCTTGACTTGGATGTCAGAGAAATATCCCACCCCAGTTTGTGCAGAGAAATGTGATGCTGCACATTTGCAATGATTTTCCTCTATTGTAAGGAATTACCTGTTTGCAGTAAGAGGCCCTTATCGTAGTATCAGGGCAGCCTTGAACGTTTGTGAAGGTCAAATTTTAAATACATTCTATATAGTTTTTCTCATTTATGTTAACAAACTTAACCCTTTTGTATGCCTTTTATCTCTGGTGTACTTATGCTGCACAGGCCATTGCTCGGCTGCGCTATCCAGGTCATGGTGTAGGACATCTATTTCCCCAGGTGAGAGGAAGTGAGACATGCAGAATGTAGGATGCATGGTTCCTGTTGGGACTGCTGTTGGTCATGTTTTTACATGTCTGCACCTCCCCCACAGTGAGCAGGAACTGAGGTGTTCACCAACTTGAGCAGAGATGTGGAGGATCCTACTAAAAAGAGAAAAAGGTGATTTAAAAAGTGACTTAATAATTCAGAAAATAACTATACCAAAGTGATTAGCCTAGGTTATTATTATTATCCAGCTCTGTGCTAAATAATCTGATATACTGGCTTTACACAATGTTTACTTACTTTGTATTTAAATCAGTTATTGAGATCTACTTTTCTTCACGTTACAGCTGATTAACTCATTCAAATCAATGAAAACTGAGCTTACGTAAGACAAAAGTCCTAAAAATCTTAATCACAAGAATTTCACAACATGCTGATTTGATGCTTAGGGTTCATTTTGCTGCCACAGTGGCACCTATTTAAGGGAGTATTACAGACGCATTTGAAAAATTACTAGATCCCGTCTCACAGGACTGTTCTGTAAACAGAAAGTTGTAGCCAAAGTTTTGGAAGCTCTGAACATAATTGCCAACATTTACTGAGTGTGTGAACATGATTTTATGAGTGAACGTCATTCTTTCAAGAGCACACTTGTTAATGGAAAGACTGCAGGGCTGAAGTAATATTGTATTTCAATCCAAAAGTTTCAGAAAAACACTTTCAGAATTTCCAACATGCGTTTTAAAAAGAATTTCACATTCCTTGGGTGAAAATGGCAAAAGCATGATTATGAAGGCAGCATGGTGGTGCAGTGGTTCACACTGTCGCCTCGGACCTCTGGGACCAGGGTTCGACTCTCTGCCATGGCTCCATGTGTGTGGAGCTTGCATGTTCTTCCTGTTTTGTTGTGGGGTTTTCTCCAGGTACTCTGGCTCCCCCCCCCCCAGTCCAAAAACATGCTGAAGCTGATTGGAATTCCCAAATTGCCTGTAGGTGTGTATGAGTGAGTGAATGGTATGTGAGTGTGCCCTGCAATGGGTTGGTGCCTCATCCTGGGTTGTTCCCTGCTTTGTGCCAGTAGCCTCTGGGATGGGCTCTGGACCCCCCACAACCCTGCATGGGGCAAGTGGTTGCAGAACATTATGAAGAAAATGTTTAAATTGTGACTGAAAATGTAGCATTTTAATGAAGCCAGCTCTTTGTTACTTATGTACATGCACAATAATGTTATAACCATGAACCACATAGAACAAATGTTGCATCTGTATGTAATGATGTTTATTAATTTAAACAGACATGTAACACCAACATCATCTCAGAATTCACATTTACATACAGAATACATTTGCAAAGTATTAATCATTGTATTGGAGGGGAAGAGTACATGGCTGTATGAAAGATACTAATTTGGTGCTTAATTACTGTCAAGTTGGGCTAGTCTTTGACGTTTGTCCTTTGGTTAACATAAAGAGGCTCCCTGGGACTTATTAATTTCCTCTAATAACCTAACTATCTTATCTTGTTTGGTAAAACACCTATGGTAAAAACAGCTATACTAACTGTAAAGTAATAGCACCACCTAGTGTTATTGCATGGGATAAGCGGATAAGAATGAGTAAGGAGAGTAAATGGGAATCTGTGTGGAAGGTTTAAGCAGGGCCGTTGTAAAGGGGGAACGGGGAACTTAGGACAATTGCAGGGCCCTGAAATATTTGGAACATAATTTGATTGGTCTGAGTTGGGGGTCCAACATGATATGCTTTCATGGGGCCTAAAATTTCTGGTGGTGCCTCTGGGTTTAAGGCAAGGTGTCCATGCTGACACCAGTGAGAGTGGCATCGTTATAGATGCCAAGATGATTGATGGAGTCGAGCTCCTGGATGCGATGCTTGAACTCGAACAGGTAATCGCCGTTCCCTGTCACCTTGAATTCACTATCGGTGCACAGGATCTTCAGCTGTGAAGGTGAATGAACAATGAGTATCATCCCAATGGCCTTGGTGTTCCCAGAAACACATTGGAAATGTGGGCATTTGGTACAACTGCAGCACAGACATGCACACAAAGTATTCCACACAAAATGAAAATTCTCAGAAAATGGTGGAAAAAAGCGATTAAACAAGAGAAATACAGCATGACTGCATTCTGACTGTGTTCATCCAGTTGTGACATGAATGTCAGAACAATTTTTTTTTAAACCACAGCAGATTGTCTTAATGTTTTTCTTGTTTGAATATTGAGTCAAGTCACCCAAAGACCATAGCCGGCAGTTCTGGCATGGTCCTAGTTTTCATACTTGAACTGCAGGAGGGCTGCTGTGGTCTGCTGGCACCTGCGTCTCGCTCTTATGAGCCTGGCAGGGAGCAGACTGGTGTCTGTCTGGTACTCATGCTAGCTCATCTACCCCCTGCAGTGACTGGAAGTGGCAAAAATCAGAAAGGAAGCTAGTGGAAAAGCAACGAAGGTGTAGTATGGTGGCTGAGAGCCAGAAAAACTCTCTTTTTTTGTATCTGCTACAAAATACATATGTTTTAAGTTAATACTAGTTTTGTTGAATGGCACTACAATGCCTCCAGCCTCCATCCTGTTTTTGTCAAGTAGGTTTCAAAAAGAATTTCACCAGGCAAAATGAATTTTAATAGTATTTCGTAAGCAGTGCTTGGTCGTCAGTTACATGGCATCCAGGGGGTCCTCAGCCCTATGCTGCCAGGGATATGTCCAACCCCCACCCCCCCAGTAGGACAAGCAGTATACAGTATATGCATAAACATATACACATGCAGAATATCGGTATAAATTCTGGCATATTTAAAACATTAGGTACTTGCTCTGGGTCTAGTTTTATATAAAGGAAAAGATGATTTTAACTTATTACACATAATCCGAAGCTGCAGGGCCGTGAGAACTAGCAGATCTGTCAGCTTGACATTGCCGGAGCAGTCGCGTTCTCTGCATTTACCTCAAAGGGATCACCACGGGCAAAAGGGAAGCAGCTCAGCTCTCGCTCCACTGTGCCCCACTCGCCGGACACCATGGAGTTACGTACAACACTCTGCCCGCCATCGTCGTCGAAATGCAACTTCATGTGCATGGCGATGTCGCCGCCGCGGCACAGGTCCACCGTGAACCTTTTCCGCAAGACAAAAACACCTCAGTGCCTCTAGCCTCTTTTGAAAATAACTGTGTGGTTTGGCATGAATGAGTTATTTCCTACTTCAGTCAATGCAAAAGAGCTGTTAAGACTTGAAAAATGATATATCTTTAATATACTCTGTGTATGTATAAGTAGCATGACATAATGCATGTATTACTGTGAAATTTATGTAGTAAAATAGTAATGCTTGGCACAGTGATGAACAACAAATATGAATCGGGCCGTACATGTGCAAGGTGGCAAAACTGGTAGAAATACGTGCAATTTGCAGAAGGTTAAAATTCTTCCAGGACTTAAAATGTTTCCCTCGGACATTCCTCGCTGTGTTAATGATGTGCTAGATTTTCCACTTTCCACTATACTGCGCTACCCATTCCTGTGTGATTGTTTCCTACATATGTATTAAATATGTATTCATGAATAATCACCTTTCCATTCCAGGCCACTGTATAGTTTGTTGCTGAAATCCAGTGACTGGATATAATGGAATAATGCAATATACATTTTTAAGACAAAAGGTACTTTTATGTGCCAGGAAACAACAATTTGGCCAACATGGAACATTCTGTACATTTGGCGCTGGGACTATTGGACACTCATGTTTTGTGTTTCATTAAAAACCGTAATCTAACCATAATTTATCCTAATTATCTGAAGCAGATGACCATAATTTACATTTTGTCACACTTTTCATTTTGGCCTCTCTGAGTTATATTAAAAACATTTCCATTCATGTTTGGTCTGACTAATATAGATGGTGGTTCTAACAGGTTTTACTGGTTTTACTAAATTTCTGTGTGTTTGCATGGCATGTTTTCATTGAGCAGGAGTCAGCTGACCGTGTGTTTGCATGGCGTGTTTTCATTGGCCAGGAGTCAGCTGACTGTGCATCTGTTGTGAGGGTCTCAAGGTACTAGGTGTAATTTGATGTGTTGCCCATTTGACTGTTCATTTATTTGTGAGGTTTCAGCTGGCATAGAAACAGTAAACAACAAGTGCTCTTTGACACAAAGATAAATGCAAAGTATCCGAGCACTGCCTATAGACAGTGCTTTTGTTAAGCTCTCGTTTGAGTTTTGGTATAGCATTACATCCAGCTACGTAATGTGAGTTTGTTTGCATCTTTGACAATACACTACGGGACTGATTTGCAAATATAGCTCCAGGCTGAAATTCCAGGTATATGTACTTTATGTACTTCTTACTTTACTGTAATATTTTCTCATATAATTCATACCTAACAATTCGGTACACGTGAGATTTTAATGTATTCAAGATGGCCACCTTCCTCATATTGATTACTTAATGTTTTGTTATCTTTCCCTAGCAAAACCAGCTGCTTGAACAGGGCATAAGATGTGGATTAAAAAAAAAACAAACAGTAACAAAATCCTGTAATTATTTGCTATATCACATTACCAGTTATTGTGTAGACAGGGTATGTTAAGCACTTTGTTTCCTGTGTGACTGGAGTTTGTAGGTATGTCTCATAATAAGGTAAGTGATACTTTTTTTCACAACAGGGGGGGGGGGGGGTTTGCATACTGACACACTGGCGTCGGGGTTGAACTGCCCGGTAATGGTGATGAGCAGCTGGTCGTAGCATCCCCTCGGGATGTTGGTGTCATACGGCACAGTCTGAGAAAAGAAGAAGCCTCTTCAGTGTGGAGCCTCACTCTCTCCACATGTCTGTCACTGGAATTTCTGCACAAAGGGTCTCACATCCATTATAGCTAATGTGATATTTCTCCTGACCAGGAATATGGTTCTTACTTGATTAATAGAGTTATATTAGGGTGACCAGATAATTCATGCCAGATAGGACACTTTGAGCTACAAAATACTTTAAAACTAGAAGGCTCCTGTGCTTGGTTAAACAGTTAAATTTTTCTTGTGTTTAACTGGTTTGTTTCCTTGATTGAAAGACTCACCCAGCGCTTTCACAACAACGTTTCGTGACCCAAACGTGATAATATGAGCAAGAGCTCGGTGCTTATGTGAAATCCAGATTCTTTTATTTGAAATGTCGATTTACAAATCCTGTACTAGCTCAAAGTTTCCGGGATGGCGTGGATTTTCTGGTTACCTTAGCTGTCTTGGTTTATGTTTGTGATTTCAAATTAGCATAACATGCAAGATATAAAAGACTTCTGATTGCGATCTTTGAAATCCTTGATTTTTGAGTCCAGTCTTACCCCCATGAGTTTGATATAGCTACTTACTCTCCAAAAGATCTATAATGGATTGTATTACAAACCGTTTGAATGAATGAATGCTCTTTCTTACCAGTGGTGGGCCAGCGAATGATTGCTCGGGGTCAGTCATGTCAATGCCCTGTTTGGAGGAAGACCATCAACCACAGTCAATGGCATACGAGTCAGTCAGCAATAGATCCTAACGATGTCAGTATATCTTGCACACAGAATGGAATGCAACAGAAGTAACATGTATGCCATGACATCATATACACTGCCATTTGTTAAAGTAAGCTATAGTAATACACTACATGGACAAAAGTATTATGACACCTGGGCATTACACCTACAGGAACATGACAGCACATTCTAAATCCATAGGCATCAATATAGAGTTGGTCCCCCCTTTGCAACTATAACAGCTGCCAGTCTTTCAGGAAGGCTTTTCACAAGATTATGGAGAGTGTCTGTGGGAATTTTTGCCCATTGATACAGAAGAGCGTTTGTAAGATCAGGCACTGATGATACAAGTGAAGGCACAGTCATGCTGGAATAGAAAAGGGCCTTCCCCAAAGTATTCCCACAATACTGGAATCATAGAATTGTCCAAAATGTCTGGGTATGCTGAGAGTTCCCTTCACTGGAACTAAGGGGCCTAGCCCACCCCCTGAAAAACAACCCCAATACCATTATCCCTCCTCCACCCAACTTTACACTTGGCACAATGCAGTCAGGCCGGTAACATTATCCTGGTATCTGCCAAACCCAGGCTTGTTCATCAGACTGCCAGACAGAGAAGCATGATTGTCACTCCACAGAACCCGTTCCCACTGCTCCAGAGTCCAGTGGTGGCGTGCTATACACCACTCTATCTGAGACTTGGTTATATGAGGCTTGCATGCAGCTGCGCGGCCATGGAAGCCCATTCCATGAAGCTCCTGGTGCACAGTTTTTGTGCTGAGGTTAATTCTAGAGGAAGTTTGGAACTCTGCAGTAATTGAGTCAACAGAGTATTGGTGACTTTTATGCACTATGGGCTTCAGCATTTGGTGACCCCGCTCTGTTCCTTTACGTGGTCTGCCACTTTGTGGCTGAGTATCTGTTGTTCCTAAACACTTCCACTTTGTAATAATACCACTTACAGTTCACTGTGGAATATCTAGCAGGGAAGAAATTTCACAAACTGACTTTTTGCAAAGGTAGCATACTATGATAGTACTATAAGAACATAAGAACTATACAAACGAGAGGAGGCCATTCGGCCCATCGAGCTCGCTTGGGGAGAACTTAACTAATA